TTGGTTCGTCGGACGGTTGGTTCGTCGGACGGTTGGTTCGTCGGGCGGTTGGCTTGCTGGCTGGCTGGTTGATGGAATTTTTTGTTGATTATACATTGGAATGATTGGTTGGTTTCATCAAACAGAAATTCATCCTATCATCATTTAGTCAGTTGATCCACCGATCAATTAACTATTCAACCAGCTAACCACCCAATCTCTTAACTAACCTACCATTCAAACAAACACATCAAACAAACAAACACACAAACAAACAAACAAACAAACACACAAACAAACAACCAAACAAACAAACACACAAACAAACAACCAAACAATCAAACACACAAACAAACAAACAATGCAGCACTTGGTTCTGAGTTTGAAGATCTTCATAGCGTACGCCATCCCGGACATACCTGATGAGGTGGCCGAAGAAAGGGCAAGGTTGGAGTTCATGAGGAGGGAGGCTTTGAAGGTTAGTCCCGATGATGGTGATGATGGTGAGGATGATGGTGAAGATGATAACGATGATGATCTCTATTGGATGATAGTGGTGGTGGTGATGGTGGTCATATTTGTGGTGAAACTAACCACGGTGATAACAGAGATTAGATTTTGAGTTTTGATTTTGGTCTGAAAATTTTTTTTGAGATACGTCGTTTGCTAGACTATTTTTTTTAAGTGACTTGTTTTTTTTTGTTTTTAATTTTTTTTGTTTTTTTTTCTCTCTTCCATTTTGTTTGATTTCAATTATAATTATTTGAATTCCCTATTTTGGTTTCAGCCTTCTCAGACTCTTATTAATAATTCTAGCACCATTCTTACAAATATTCAACACTTAATTTGATGTTTCAGAAGCAAAAAAGAAGTTTAAGAATCTGCAAGAGATAGATAATCATCATTTTTGTTTGGTTTTGTTTATTTTGCTATTTTTTTTTTTTTATTCTGATATTAATTAACTGATCTTTGAATCGTTTTGCATCTGGCTTACGTATTTATTGTTTCGAAGAAATGTTTTTCACTCGCATTTTTCATAAATTTCGCATATTTTAATTTTATTTTTTTAGTTCAAATTATTTTGTTTTGCCTTCATTGTGCATTTTTATTTTAAGCCATAGCTTTTTGTGATTAATTTTACCGGCTTTCCATTTTGTTTGTGTCAAGTTTTTCTAAGCATATATCATTTAATTTCTAGTGTTTTTTGAGGTTTTTTGTTTAATAACCATAATTTTGTGGTTTTTTTCGATGCACATGTATAAACTTATTAGCCTCACACCCCACCACACACACACACACACACACACATACACACACATATATACATATAGATACATGCAATCACATACGAACACACAGACGCGCGCACATATATAGAATTAACTATGTATGATTTCGGTTCAATTTTTTTTCTTTGTTTTTTAATTTCAGTCGATCTAGCACGCACGTAAATTTATATGGGTTTCATCTGTCTGTTTTGTTTGTTTGTTATGGTTTAATTATGTTGAAAAAACAGTTTAAATGAGTTTTTCACTTTATTTCATTTTTTCTGATTATTATTATAATTATAGTTTTATAATTAACTTATAATAATAATATTAATATGATTGTCACTAACATTTCGATATTGTTAACTGCTTTTCTTAATAATATTCAAGACCTTAAATCACAAGTCAACCAGTTCATATCCACAAATTAATTTTCTCATCTCATTACAACTCATCCATCCAATTGTTTATCTTTTTTATCTGTCTATCTTCCCTTCCATCCATCCATTTATCTATTTTCGATCCATCTATCTATCCATTTCCGCTCACCTATCCATCTCCTTTTCAATACATCCGTCCATTAATTTATTCATCCCTCTATTCGTTCATTCACTCAGCATTCTGTCTATACATCCTTTCATTCATTCTTTCATTCATTCATTCATCCATCCATCCATCCGTTCATCCATCCAACCATCCATGGCACGATAATCACATCCAGACCCATTGGAACGAATGGAATAAGATTAATTATAATAGTAATAATAATAACAACAACGTCAACAATAATAACAAGGATAATAACGATATGAATATTAATAACAACAATAACAATAATAATAATGTTGGCAATGAAGATGCTACAATTGAATGTATTGTTGATGTGAGTGATGCAGATTCCACTAAAACGTTACCGGATGTAAGAATTTTTTTTCCTGTATTTTACTATATGTTTGTTTTATTAATTTTATTCAGTTGCCTTATCATAGACACGTAGTTCATGATTGATAATAATTAATTAGTTATAATTAAAGTTAATTGGTGATATTTTTAATTGATTATTTAAGCAGGCATGAAATTAGTTCTTGGTTTAAATATTCTAAATGTAGGTTTAATTAAAAGTTATTTTTCTCCCTTCTTGGATGGAAAGAAATCATAAAACATTTCAGACAGCAGTTTAATTAAATGACTTTTTTACGTCATTTTTTTGTAAAAGTAATTTCAGTTTTAAACTAAAAAGTTTCAATTAATTTTTTTTTCAATGTTTTCTATTTCTCTGTCTTGAATTTTTTTTATATTTTTCTCATTCTCTTTCCTTTTCCACTTTTCCTACCGTTGTCTCTGCGCTTGTTTTCGTTCTCTCTATATCTCTCTCTTTTTGTCTCTTTCTCTCTTTTACCTCACTCTCTCTTCTTTCTCTCTATTTTTTTTCCTTTTTCTTTTTCTATCTGATATTAAATTTGCATTTCTTTTTATAGCTTTCTGTTGTTGTATTTATCTTATTCTATCACTCACTACTTTTCTTCTCTCTCTCTCTTTCTCTCTCTCTCTCTCTTCCTCTCCTTTTCTCTATCTCTCCTGTTTTCTATTTGCTATTAAATTTATATTTATAGAATTCAAGCGACAGACAGCAGCAGCAGCAGAAGAACGCGGCTCTCGATAATCTCCTCGACATGCTAAACTTCAAGGAACAACTTTCGTAAGAATAACGTCATCGTCATCGTCTTTAATCACCTGACCACCGTTGTGATTACGTCATCGTCTTTAATCACGTGACCATCATTGCGATTGCGTCATCGCTACTGCATCATCGTCATTAGCATCATCGCCATCTTTCTACAATATTTTGTTGCTTTTATATTGTTGTTATACTACGGTTGTTTTATATGATTTAAATCAGCCATTTGCTAGTGCATTAGCTTTTGGCAACTCAATATTATAAAGAAATATATACTATATTATATCAGTGATATAATAATTTGAGAAAAATAAAATTACTCTTTTCATTTTGCCACGTTTTTCGCTGAGAAAATCTACTGCCGTATCTTACTGCTAATTATATATATATATATATATATATATATATATATAAACCTTATATTGATATATATATATACAAAATAAATATAAAATTCAAAATAAACTTATTTTTCGAATTCATGCTGATGAAAAAAAAAAA